ATCAGAAAGGTTCACTGCATTCTGGGGAAAATAAATAGAGACTTCTATGGAGACATGTTCTGGAAAACTGTGTGACTTATGCAAATAAGGACAACATCCTACATGCCTCCAGGAAGGCAAGAATAAACCCAGGCCGGTTTAGATTGTGTTATACTGGATGCTAAGTGATAAGGGAGCCATGTTATGAGGTTTGGGGGAAATGCTGAAGTATTTATTACAGAAAGATGCTCCCATCAGCTGGGAGTCTAAGAATGATAACCCCGTGGCTTAAAAAGTCTGGGCATTAGCACCGAAACTAGTTAAAAAGCAGCGAGTAGGAAGAATTATTGTAAATATCGTTTCCAGACTGAATACAAATGTCAAAAATTATTGTTAAATGACAAATCATAGACTAGAAAAATAATAATCGAACCATCTGGATCTGAAGCTTTAAGTCACATCAACATGGATCTGAGGCGGGCGGGGCCCTTCAAGAATGCTCTGCATAAGAGGGGTTCACCAGGCGCCCTTTCCAGTTGTGTTCAGAGGGCCCAGCAGCTACAAATGAGGCTTTTCAAGGTACCTGGTAACTTTCTAGTGCAATGAGAAACAAAATATCTACTTAGTATAATAAAAAACAAAATATCTACTGACCAAAGTCTGGAGAAGACCAAAGCAACATTCAGGATGGTCAAACAACTTGCAGGAAACAAAAGGAAGAACTGCTGGGGGTGAAGGGATCAAAGTGAGAACAGCGTCCCCTTCCCGGAGCAAGCCCCCCCGCAGGTCGATGTGAATTAGGAATATAAATGCGTGACGTTTTCCTAGTAAAACACCAAAGACTCTCAGATTGGATAAAACAAAAACTAAGATGGAAAGCCAACTAGACAGTGCTTACCAGAAAGAAGCTTAAAACCCAAGGGACATGGAAAGGTGAAAAATGGAAGATCAGAGGGAAGTTATATGAGGCAAGTTCAAGTCAAATGAGATGAACGGTAGTATTTATATCAGATAAAGGATCTTAGGCAAAAATCAGGACATGAGCCAGAAGGTCATTTGTATTGATGAAGAGTACAAGTCAGAATCAAGATCTGCTTGTCATGATCTTTTACGTCCTCTACAGCATTAGACCCAACCCAGGGAGCAATAACTTAGACACACATAGAATGACAAAGAAAAAACCTCCAGACGAGCCTTAACACACTTCTGTCTTTGGTATCTTTAAATCCTATCCCCCCCAACACACTTGTGTGGAATTGGAAGAATAGAATTAATAAGGTTGATTTAATAACTGAACTTTGTACCTTACAAATAAAAGATGCTCATTTATGTGCCAGGGCCCATCAAACATTTATGAAAATTGATCATATATTAGGCCATAAAGAAAAACTCAATATAATCCCCCAAGCAGATATAGCAAAACCCTCATCGTTTGACCACCATGCAATTAAGCTAGAAATTATTAACAAAAGTTTGAATTAAAAAGCCAACCATTTGAAAATTAAAAACCACTTTTGTAAATAACTCTAAATAGAACCTACATAGCAAACTATTTTTTTTTAGCAAACTATTTTTTAAAAAAAAGAAGAAACACTGCAAATACCACATATCTAAACGTATGGGAAGGTGGTTAAAATGTTATAAGGAGGAAAATTCATAGCTCGGTGTTGTGAATTTCTTAAATAAGAAAGGGTGGAAGTCAATAAAAATAAGAAGCAGAGTTTCATAAATTACAGAAGAGAAAAACACCAGAAATAAAAGATAAATCCATGACTTGTTCTTTTTGAAAGTCTAATAAGTTAGGTAAACTTTTGGCAGATCCAAAGATAATAAGCAGAGAGAAATGAATGCACAATAGAAGCAAAAATATTTTAAAAATCAAATTATATTAAGTAAAGCCTTATGATAATACATTTGAAAAAAATGAATAAGCAGATATTTTTATCAGAAAATATGTATAACCCAAAACAACAAGTAGAGGAGAGCCAAAAAATGTATTACTACAGAGTAAATTGAAAAGGTAGAGAAAGAGCTACTTCCTAGAGAAGTGTGGGGTCCCGACACTTCTAATGGCAACTCTTCACATATTTCAGACATTCTGTTTCAGGACACAGGAAAGATGGAAAGCTTCCCCAGTTATCTTAAGAATGTGGAATAACCCTAGAATGATGAGTTGGCGGAAAACGACAGGTCTTGCTTAGGAAGAGGATAGAAATTCCAAACAAAACAGGAGCAAATAATCCCGGGTGACATTGTGCAAGTCATAAGAAAGAGAAATCTGCTCAAACGAACTCAGGAAAAAGAGGAGATTGGGTATGAGAATTGAGAGACTTCACAGAATTGGAGGGTAACATGTGCAGCCAGGCTTGAATGGAGACACAAGTCATCATAGCCTGTGAATGCAGGACTTCACCTTCCTCTTTAGACCAGCATCTTGAGCTACTCATCACACAGCCAAGGCCTAATGACTTTTCAGGTCGACTTTCGGGGTCCCAATGATAAAATCAGCAATGAAAGGTGCTTCCTGGGGTGCCTGGGTGGCTCAGTGATTGAGGGTCTGCTTTTGGCTCAGGGCATTATCCCTGGGTCCTAGGATGGAGTCCCACATCGGGCTCCCCTGCAGGAAGCCTGCTTCTCCCTCGGCCTATGTCTCTGCTTCTTTCTCTGTGTCTCTCATGAATAAATAAATAAAATCTGAAAGAAAGAAAGAAGAAAGAGAAAAAGAAAGAAATAAAAGAAAGAAAGAAAGAAAGAAAGAAAGAAAGAAAGAAAGAAAGAAAGAAAGCTTCCTTAATGTGTTTATGGTGACATCTATGATGCTTGTCAATCTTTCCAGTCCTCCTTCCAGGCTGTGATTGCACTTTTCAGTGGGCTTAGGCAGGGCCCTGTGCTGAGGTAATGTGTGTCATTTCCAGGTAGAAGCACTTAATTGCTGGCACAAGACTCTCCAATTCTCTTTCTCTTGAGACAGCAAGCATGTGAACATTTGATGATGTGGAGGTACAATCCTGAGCCAATCACAGCTGTAGCTGAGAGACAGTTGCCTGAATCCACAGCTGACTTAATATGAACAGGAAATAAACCATTCTCAAGCCATGAGATTGTGACATTATTTGTTACCGCAGCCAAATCTAACTTATCCTGACTGATTCCATGACAAAGAATATCTGTCTCAAACCAATAGCCAACATCACATTTAGTGGTAAAGTACTGGGAGCATTCTCAGTAATGTCCAGAATAAGGCAAGGATGCTTAATAATGCCTCTATAACTTTACATGGCTCTGAAGCTTTTAGACAATGCAATAAGACAAGAAACATCAATTAAAGAACAGCAACTACAAAGGAGACAAAATTATCCTTATTTGTGGATCATATAATTGTCTGCTTAACAACTCAAGGGGAGCAGAAAAAACTATTAAATAATAACATGTAATCCTACAAAAACACAAAAATCAATAGCATTCTTCCCTCCCTCTTCTTTTTTGCTTTCTATTAAACCCATCGTGTTTTCTTTATTTCCCTTTTACCTGTGTTGGTTTGAAAGTTTTATGTTCCATTTCTGCCTGTTAGAGGTTATCTTTAAATTTCTAGCATGCATAATCGACTTACCATGATCTAAATCAATACTCCCCACCCTCTTCCTAGACAGTGAAGGTCTCAGCATGATTTAACTCTAGTCATACCTTCCAATCACCATGTATGATTGCCTATATTTTGGTTTGATCTTGTTTCGAGTCCACGTTTGTCATTATTATTGATTTTAATAGCCAATTCTTACTTAGATTTTACCTACATTTTAATATCTTTGCTTATGGCTCATTACATACCTGATATAGGGCTTGGTTTCCTTCTTCTTTAGGCAATCTTTCATTGGTTCTTTCAGCAAAGTTCTGTGAGTGGTAGTTTCTCAGTCTTTGAACTGTCTTGATTTTAGGCTTGAAAGATAGTTTAGCTGAAAGACTGCTTAAGTTGGCAAATGTTTTCTTTCATCACTAATACCCAAAAGGGAATTGGACAATGGACCTGAATCAGTAAGAAAATAAGAAATACAAGTGACCAACTGAAGCATCTGAAAACAGATTCCTCTTCCTTGCTAGCAAAAGAAGTCAGTTGAAAATAAGATGTTTTGTTTTTTGTTTTATCCTATTAAATTGGCCAAACATTTTTTTAAAATGGAAATGTCCTGTGTGGTGAGGGGAAAAAGAATTCTACATGGCCCTCGTTCCTCTGTAGGAGTGTGTAGTTGGTTGAATGGTAGCCCCCCAAAAGATATGACTATGTCCTAATCCCTAGAACTGGGAATGGTTTGTTTGTTTTTTTTGTTTGTTGTTGTTTTTTTTTTTTTTTTGGAAAAAGGGTCTTGCCAATGTAATTAAATTAAAGATCTTGAGATGAGGAGATCATGCTGGATTACAGGAGAGTGTCCTTGTAAGAGACACACAGGGGAGAAACAGACAGAGGAGGAGACCAGAAGCAGAGGCTGGAGTGAAGAGGTCAAGGGGCACAGGCGGCTGTCACTAGCTGGAAGGGGCAGGAAGGACCCTCCCCTGGAGTCCTCAGCAGGAGCGTAGCCCTGCCTATGACACCTGACTTTGAACTTCTAGCCTCCAGAATTGTGACACAATACACTTCTGTTATTTTAAGGTACTAAGGTTATGGTAATTTGTTACCTTGAGAAACTCATACAAGAGTGTCACCAGAAGGTTTCCGGAGGGCAGTTGGGCACATGTAGGACACACCAGTCCTAAAACGTGTACAACTTTCCTCCTTAAAATTACTCAGAATTAATAATTGTGGATTTGTCAAAGATTTCTTGGCAAGGATATTCATCGAGGCCTCTTCTTTAAGGGACATCAACAACCCAAATGTTCTATAACAGAGGATTGGCTAAACAATGATGGGTTGGGTGTGTAACGGTAAATGTAAAAAATACCGGTTTACCCACAGTTGATGAAACACTCTTGATGTGCTCGGAGAGAATGAGTCTATTCCGACTCTTGTCTCATGTGACTCTTGGCAGGCATCAGCAGCCCGGCCACACAGAGGAGGACCAAGGTGAGGTCAGAGGGTCAGGCCACCTACCTGCGGTCACAGAGCCAGTGTGCCAAGATTCTGACCCCAGGCCCCGTGCAGGGCCTCGACCATCGGACGAGATGACCCCTGGCGCAGCCATCAGATACGGTGAAACTGCGCCCCATCACGGCACAGGAGCACACTGGTGAAAAAAAGCAGTTGAGCACATTCTAGTTTTGCAAAAATAAAAAGTGTGTTCGATGTGCAGAGAAAAAAGGCTGGAAGGATTTACTATGTGCGTTAACAGGGAGGTTACCTCTGGGGAGGGATTGGGTGATTTTTATTTCCTACGCTGAATATAGGTAGCTTTTGTAATCAGAACAAAATACTACCAAACAAAACCACACCGCTTGTGCCTGCGCTGACCACACCCGACTCTGAGTCTGTTCTGGGAGATGGGGAGCAGCGCCCCAGCTGGTGGAACCCCCAGAGGCGCCTAATATCCCCCCTGCCCTTGGTCTTCTCCCCAGCGTGTGTCTATACCTGCCCTGCACCCTCTCTTCTGTGGGCATCGATTTTTCCATCCTTCAGAGAAGCGCCTGAGGGAAAGGAAAGAGCATCTTTGGATCAATGAGCAGAGCCCTGCAGCCGGGGTGGGGGGGGGGGGGTCCGCAGGCGGGTCGCACACTTGTCACTGCCCAGGACCTAAGGGGGAGGTCAGTGGGTGGAGACGGTGTGACTGGCCGGGCTGCCCAAGGTGGCCAAGTGTGTGGGTTGGTGGGGGGGTTGGGAGGTGGCCCATGGCGTGGTGGTGTAGGGGGTGTGGGGAGCTGTGTGTGTGTGGTATGACATGGGGCACAAGAGGGTGCAGGGTAGGGTGTGGGGGTGTTGCTGGCACACATGAAGCACAGGCTGATCCCTGCCTAGAGGAAAGGCAGTGGCCCAAGCCCCCTCTATGAAGCAATCTCCCATTGATTTTCCTCACAGCTCTGTGAGGAAGGTGCTGGCACCCGCCCATTGCCCAGATAAGGAAACTGAGGGCTGTGTGTGTGACAAAGAGGGAAGGAAGGAGTGAGAGGCTTAGGGAAGAGGGGGAGAAGCAAGGGGGAGGGGAGAGAGACAGGGCATTGCTTGTGGCCACTCCCCTTAGCTCCCTCCTTCCCCTAGCTGCTGACCCCGTATTGAAGGGACAGGGGCGTGCCGCAGCCCCACCCTTGGGAGCTCCCAGGTGGGAAGGGAGTCAGTGTGGGTGCCCCCTGGACCCAAGGCTGGCCTATCTGGTTCAGCAGGCCCACATCCCCAGCCTGCCCGGGCCTCTCCCACCCACACACTAGCCTCTTCCTTCCCAGCCAAACTCCTTTCTGACTTGTCCTGTCACCAAACCCCGGTCCCCTCCCGCAAGGAACCAGTGCCCCGGACCTGTGTGGACCCCAGCTCCCTGTACTTCTCCAGGGCACCAGTGACAAATGTCCTGAAAGATTTGAGTTCACTGCTTACCGACTATCTTCTCCTGGCTGAGACTGCAAGCTCTGGGACAGTTGGGGTGGGACCCTGGGTCCCCTTGGCTGGGTCTGCAGCACCCAACCCCCTGGCCAGGTACCCAAAGTGGCTCAACATATGTTTGTCGCATGAATGGATGAACCACTATAATTGCTAAGAAGAGAAATGTGCAGATGGTCTGTTGTGAGGTTCTGTGAGCGTGTGCTGTGTTCGTGCCCATGTGCATGTGTACCGAGGTATGCTTACATGTGCACACCTCACGTGGGTGTGGTGCATTCGTGAGCACATATGCACGGTTGTATGCATGTGTGCACGGTGTGTGCGTGTGCGCACAGTGTGTGCCATGTGTGCCTGTGCATGGACCAAGGTGCTGTGTGAGTGCATACTTCCTTACATGCTGGCATGTGCTCGAGTGTGCTCACCACGTGTGCATGTGTGTGCTCACCCGTGCCAATTGTGCATGCCACTTCTTGCTCAAGGTTGGAGGAGACCACATACCTTTCTCTCATGTCTACTCTCTCTCCTGGACCTGCAGCCTGCCTTCCAGATTTTTGCTTTCTGGATCCTCCAATCCCCGTCCACACCCCTCCAGCCCCTACAAGGCCCCCCCCCAAAGACTCTGACTCCAGCGAGGCTTCAGTCCTGACATTCCAGCCAGCTGCACTTGGAGCCCACACACCGTGCAGCATGAAGCCGACCCCAGAGCACACCAAGCATGCCATCTTGGCCGGATGTCTTTGCCTCTCTCTGTTTTCTCATCTGTAAAGTGGGCACCGAGTTCACACACCCACATACAGGGCTGGCACATGGTGAGTGTGCCACGGTGATGCTCCCTGACGCAATATGGTGATGACTGTCCCCTGGGGGCAGCAAACCGGGGGCGGGACCCAGGGGACACAGCATTCCCAGTCACCAGAAAGGCAAGCCAAAGCTGCGCTCTGCCCCTGGTGGGTGACTGCAACCCTCCCTTCTGGTCACGGGGCTCCCAGAAAACGCTGCAGCTGAAGGAGTCAGGGCCGTGAAGAGCAGATATTCAGCCCAAGTGCTTATCCTGGAGCTGTTTCTCTGGCCCGCCGTGGTCAGGGCGTTCATTCTTTCACTGCAGCTGTCTCTGACCTCTCCATGCTGGTTGAGTGTGAGGTATGCATTGGAAATCAAACCCAAACTCCTCCCTGTGGCCTGCATGTACCTCCCACCCTCTGCTGCAGCCACACCCACTCTGTTCTTACACATGTGGCCTATTCCTGCCCCCAGGCCTTTGCATTTGCCATTCCCTGTGCCTGGCAGTATTCTGTCCCCAAACCATCTTATGGCTGGCTCCGTCTTGTCCTTCAGCTCAGAGGCACCCGCATCTGAGAGGCCCTTGCTGATTCCGCTCTCTCAAGAACTCCCCGTCACTCACTATCACACCACTTAGCAATAGCTAAAATTATCTTAATGCTTTTGTTTACAGGGCTCTGAGTCTTAATCACCAGGTGGAAGGTAGGAAGGCAGGGAGGGAGGGGCAGTGCACATTGGTCTGGCTGCCTGGATTCCAAGCCTCACAGTTCCATTTATTTGGTGCTTACTGTGTGCAAGGGTCCAGCCCAAATTCTGGCTAGCTGGGCCGCCTTGGGCAGCTGGCTCTGTCTCTCTGGACCCCAGTTTCTCCATCTTTAGCGTGAAAGGCAGTCCAAGTCTCTGAGGGATTCTCACCTTTATTTTGTTGGGATGATAGCCCAGGCTTTGGGCACCTTGGCAGTCTCTGGGGTCTGCAGCCTCCTGGGACCGCCCTGCCCCCCACATCCCTGCCAGAGCAGTACTGATGGCACCTCCTCTGAGATGCCTCCCTGGCTCAGGCCTCTTCTGGAGCTCAAGAGCTCTCACCATCCCGTGTTTTGATTGTTTACCTGTCTCCCATTAGGCTAAGAGATCTGAGAGAGACGGGGCCAGACATTTTCTCTGGGCATCCTAGTTTGGTGGGGGACACCCTGCAGGTCAGAGTCTGGGGCCTCACCCAGCTGAGACAAGGTCGGGTCTTCCAACTCTCCCACCCATCAGCTCACCAGGGGGAAGAGGCCCCGCCTTTCCCTGTGTCTTGGGAACCTCTGGTGCTGCTCACTGCCCAGCAAGGGCATCAAACTCCAGCAACCATTGCCATGCACTTCACGGCCTCCACTTGAGCTTTGTCCAAAAGGCACTGCTTGATGAGTCCTGGCATCTGCGCTTTTTTTTTTTTTTTTTTTTTGGTTAAGAAGGGGCTGGTTTCTGTCTTTCAGCCGGGAGGGGCCCTGGGGCGCCTCTGGAGGAGGGGGTGAGGGAGAGAATGGCAAAACACTCCGTGGGCAACCCACTTCTCCGTCTTCACTCTTCCCACCCAGGCCCCAGGGGCAGAAAACAATCCCCACCGCCCGGAACCCTGACGGAGCTGCCGAGCTGGAAAAGCCGGTTCTACGCACGAAAGGATGGGGGAGGGGGACCTTCCGAGGCCCCAGGGCCGCTGCGCGGAGCTCTCCCCCTTGGCAGGTGGCCCTGCCCTCGGAGCTTCCTTCTCTGGGAGTCCGCCTCCGGCCAAGGCCACCTGAGCAACGACCACTGCAGGGGCTCGGCGCTCCCGGATCCGCCGGGGGGGACAGTGGTGCAGACGGGCGGGGAGAGGAGAGGCCGGGGGACCCTAACCCGAAGGGCCCTTAGGGCGCACGGTGAACGCCCAACCCAGGGCAGCGGGAGCCTGGTCGCCCGCGGGGCCTCGGGGACGCCCCGGAGCCCAGGGAAGCCCGCGGGGCCCGCCCAGCACGCGCCCGGCTGCCGGGAGCGCGCCGCGTGTGCCCGCCCGCGTGTGCCCGCCCGCGTGTGCCCGCCCGGGCGTGCCCAGCTCGCCGCACCCGCCGCAATTCCCGGCTGTCTGTGCATGTCTGTTTCTTTCACTAGAGGTTGCTCACTTTCACTTCTTGGTTCCTTTCGGCTTCTCCGCCGGCCCCGGGAGCGCGCGTGCGCGTGAGTGTGTGCCCGTGTGTGTGCGTGTGGCGTTCGCGTGTGTCCGCCCCGCTCCCAGCCATCGCGCCGGGGCCGCGGGAAGGGCGCTCGGGTCCTGAACCCTGACGCCAGGCGCGACACTGCCCAGCCCGGCCTCCCACCCCGGGAAGCAGCGTGAGGTGGGGGCTCTGGCCCCCCGCCCCGCCCCGCCCCGCCCCGCCTGAGCCTTCGCTCAGGACACCCTGGCTGGCACCCCAGGCCTCCGGGCTCCCGGAGGTGTGGGTCCTGGGCGGAGCAGACAGGAGACAAGGCCCGGGAGCAGGCATTGCCCCTCAGTCCCCGCCTACCTCTTTGCTTTTTTGGGTCATTAAAAAAACAACACTTGGCCCCTGAAGCCGCTGCTGCTGCTTCTCCTGACTCCAGAGGCCTCTCTTCTGCACCCCCTCAGCTCACTTCCCAAATAGGAAGCTGAGGCGGGGATGGATGGACCCTTGCTCCACTGAGCTGGAAGCCACAAGCTGTGGAGGCCCCAGCCTTTCGCTTGGGAAAGTAAGACTTGGCTGGGGCTGACAAGGACCTCTTCCACTTCCCCTCTGGCCTCCTTACAGTGCACCCTGTTCCTAGGCCCCAGCTCAGGGCCTTTGCACAGGCTTTGGACTCCTCCAGTGGGCCCGAGACTGCCATTCCTCAATAAGTTAGTGACCTCAGGCAAATTGCTTACCTTTTCTGAACCTCCATTTTCTTGCATGTACAATGGGCTCATAATAGGATATTTGAGGGTTCAAGGTGATGATGAATGTAGTGCAT